CATTTTCTTTTCTTTTCTCTTTTTTTTCTAGCATGCCAAGTGTCAAGTGGATGTTAAGGCCCTTTTCTAGCCTCTTCCTCTTAGTTTTGGCTCTTCCTATGCCCAAAGTGCAGTCCGTTATATCTCGGACTGCAATAATGAGCTTCTCATGCCCACGGGAGTTTCCCTTTACTCCTATTTTCCTCCCATAGTGGCCCCTCCTACTCCGATTTTCTCCCGGAGGGCTATTTTCCACATGGAGTCTCTTTTGACTCCATTTTCTTGAGGGAGGCTGATCCGAGATTTTTCGGATTGCTCCCATGCCTCCCACCTCAAGTTTTTTTACCTTTTCTTTTCTTTTCGGCCTTCCCGTTTGCTACCGCTAGTGCTTGCATTAGTGGTGCTAATATTCTTGGTCGTCAAGATCTCGATCTTGACGGCACACCTTGCCTTTATTATTTTTCCTCATGTGGTGCCGCCGTTTCTTCTTGGGACTTTCACATGTTCCCGCCACTTGTCCCGTCGGTGGCCCCCGACGCTTAGACCCGCCGGTGGTCCCCGACACTTAGTCCCGTCGGCGGTCCCCGACACTTAGTCCCGCCGACGGTCCTCGGCACACTTCGCCCCAGATGCCATTATTTTTACTTAGTCCCACGTGGCCCCGGGTGCCTTTCCCCGAGGTGTCCCACGTCCCTTGGGCGTTTTGCCGCCCCATGGTGACCCCTCTCCCTTGTCTTTTCTTGCGCCTTGCGCGCGTCGGTTCTTTTGGTCGCGGGCCTCTACCCCGAGGCTCCCGTAGGTGGCCCCCATGTTGACTCCTCGTTTTCTATCTTTCCGCGGCCTCTGGACCGCCAATCGCTAGACTTCCTTATTCCTTTATCGCTGTCGTGCTGCTTTTGCTGGTTCAAGGGCCCTTTGGCCTTAGTCTTATTGCATTCCAACGACCCTCCCGGCCTGATGCTATGTTCTATGTGCCCCTGTTCTTGCGCTCACTTGCTTGTTGTCGCTAGTTATTTTCCCCTGTGGTTCTCACCCCAGGGCATCACTCCCTCCTGCGGCCTAATCCTTTGTCTTTTCCCTCTCCTGCCTCCTCACTCTAGATTTCTCTGTTGTGCAAAGTTTGCCCATATTCAGTCTCTCGAGTGATAGGAAGTTATTCGGGACTCACCAGTCCCGACACATTCCCCCCACTCATTCGCGATGTCCTTATCACGCACCAATCTCTTGTAAGTGGGTTTTGGAGGGATATACGAGAGAGGAGGAGGATATGTTGTGGGTAGTTAGTTTGCCAGGGTCCATTTTGTCTTTTCTTGCTCCTTTCTCGGTTTTCTTCTAGTTTTCGGCCTTGGAATAGGGAGGGATGTATAGGGTCAAGCGTTCTTTGTCCTTTAGGTTTCTCACGTCTCATTCATCACCCGTAGTACATCAAAACCCCATTTGTCTCATTCATCACCCGTAGTACATCAAACCCTTTTCGTCTCGTTCATCACCCTCAGAGCATCAAAACCCCTTTCGTCTCGTTCATCAATCTCAGAACATCAATCCTCCTTCCAGTTTTCCTCCTTTTGCTGCCCCCGCTTCTCCCTCGGGTCTTGCCATCCCAAGCGCCCTCTGGTTGATTCTTCTTCCATCCCTTGCCAACCAGGCCCCTTTTTCGGCTTTCGTCACCTTTAATGTTTTTTTACTTGGCTCTTCGGCCCGTGCAATCCACGCTTCTTGTCACTCTTTCCTCAACCTCATGCTTGGCCAAATTCTCATGTATTTTTCCCATGTTATTTTGCCCAGTTTTCCCTAGCCTGCCAATTTCGCATGCATGTCACCCCCATTCTCAAATTCCGCATTACTTAGTTTATTCTATACACATATTTCTTCCGGCATCTCACCAGACCTTACTCAAACTCATGCAAAGTTCATTACACATATATCATTTTTTTGGGCGTCTTGCCAGTCCTTTCCTTAAGCCTATGCGAACCCAATTCCCCATGCTTTTCTGAATGTCTTGCCAGACCTTCTCTTCAGCCTGCGCAAGGTCAATTTTTCATCCATTTCTCTTCCGTACCTCTTGCCAGGCCTTTTCTCAAGCCCATGCAAAGTCAACTACTCATCTATCTCTTCTGGCCCTCTTGCCAGGCCTTTTCTCAAGCCCATGCAAAGTCAATTACTCATCCATTTCTTTCTTTTTGACATCTTGCTAGGCCTTTTCCCAAGCCTGTGCAAAGTCAATTACTCATCCATTTCTTTCTTCTGGACATCTTGCCATACTTTTTCTCTAACCTGCACTAAGTCAATTACACAATTTCTGGAGCTTATGGTAACCTTCTCTTTCGCACATTTTTTCATCGGTAGATGACACACCTTCCCCCCACTCAAAATGCGATGTCCCCATCGCACGATCAGTTCTCACTCGGAGGTACGCATACCTTGGCCCACCAACTGAGTAGACGGATGCCGGCCCATCAGCCCCAAAACGGAAGGGTGATCAGTCCTCCGCCTGCTGATAACTCACCTCATCCCCTACTCCAGTCCGACCTTTTGCCGCTTACGAGACGGGCGTCATCACTGAAGTACCACCCCACATCTGGTAGGTAGGTTCAGTCCAAACCTCCCAGGACCCCGTCTTGCCGTAAGGGCCTTCTCGCGAATCGTTCCTCCCGAGTGGTGTTTTCTTGGATCTGACCTCTTCCTTTCAAGAGAGTTGGGACTCTCAATTAGTTTGCGAGTGCAGTTACGAAGACCTCGCGGTTAGTCCCGGAACGGTTGTAATGATCCAGCAGGGCGGTGTCACTCGCGCTGTGGTGGTTGCGGCTTCCACCCGGTGCCACGCCTGACTCCTCCCTCTGGATAGTGCTGCTTAACGTAACGCGAGCTGCCGTGGTCCATTCCAAACGGTCGTGCCGCCCCTCTACGGCATGGCGTGTGGTTGGGGAGAAAAAAATGAGACTTAGGAAAAAAAATGGTTCTCTCGCCCGTTTGGCTCCACGCCCTTAACGTTTAGGTTCTCAACATGAGGCGCAATTTGAACTCCCCGACTAGAGCTCGTTGTCGGGGTTAGTTCCGGACGACCAGCATCAATCAAAGAGAGAGGTGCTTTGGTCCTTCAACCCTTTTTCCTTCTTATAAGGAGCAGGTCGTGCTGAGACTTGCCCTTGACGGTAAAGTTCCTGGGTTTGCGATGCTCGCACCGCTATCCCCCTTATGTTGAGACCCGAGACTAACAGAAAATGAAAAAAACACAATCTCTTGCTATTTTCATGGTCGGCCCGACGACCCTACATCAAGTTGCCTAGGGTCCCCTGACTATGCAATGCAATATCCAATTCTCAAACACTCCATCCCATGCTATATCCAATGCTGATTCTTATGGTTGGTCCGACAACCTCTCATCAATCAAGGTCACCTCTTGTGGCCACTCTGGCGGCCGCTTTCTTAATAGTCATTCTCACAAAGGCCGACCCGTCGGCCCACCTTCAATCCTCATCTTTCACATTCCCCAATATCCATTCCTTATGACCGTCCCTCCGGTCCATGCTTCTCTTGTCTTAAGGCTCAACCTTCTTTATCCTGCCCTTTTCATTCTCATTCGTCCATTCTCATGGCTATCTCAATGACCGACCCAGCGGCCTTTTCCATCTCTTTCATCCATCCCATTGGCTATTTCAATGACCGACCCACCGGCCTCTTCCATCTCTTTCATCCATTCCATTGGTTATTTCAATAACCGACCCACCGGTGTTTTCCATCTCTTTCATCCATTCCATTGGCTATTTCAAGGACCGACCCACCGGTCTTTTCCATCTCTTATTGCTCATTCCAGCTCATTCTCAATCATCCTTTCTCAATCAACCTTTCTCAATCAATTATGCAGGGAACCCTCGTGCCTATTTCAAAAGGAATGACCCTTGTCATAGGTCATTCCCGAACAACCTGGTTAGGGTCGTTCTTTTCCATTCTCAAGTCGAACAGCCTGGTAAGGGTCATTCCTTTCCATTCTCAAGTCGAACAGCCTGATTAGGGTCATTCCTTTTCATTCTGGAGTCGAACAGCCTGGTTAGGGTCATTTCTTTCCATTCTCAAGTCGAACAACCTGGTTAGGGTCATTCCTTTCCATTCTCAATGTTAGTGCCGGAGGGGGTAGGCCTCGAGGTCACGGATCTCATTTCTGTCTCGGAGGTTAGAAGGTGGCCATCTCATCTCAGTTTTTAGCGTGTTGTTCCCTTCCTCCATCCTCAAGGCAATGTATTATGTATGCATACATCCGACTTAGCGTCTAGTACTCGAGTTGGGACTTGCGATCCCAAGCAGCACTAGCCCACTCGGTCGTTCAACCATAGCAAGAGACAGGGGCGCCCCCTCTTATTTTCACTCGTTCCAATGCCTCAGATCTCGGCTATTCTCAGACTCATTCATGACTCGGTTGGATTAGGCTCCTAGGGAAGGAGTGTTGTTCACGCCCGTTAACCCATAGGTTCCCTAACCTCTCTTGTGCTCGACCAACATTCAATGTCATGGTTCGCTCGTCAATCTGTACTCAAGGTTTCTCTTCTCAAAGCACGACTCTCATTCCATCCAAAATCCACAATACACCCTTTCCAACCGTTCTCATCCCATGCCCCATGTCCTTGTCTTATGCACCCACTTTCGAAGGTAGCTCATCGAGAACTTAGCCTCAAAATGCTATCTTCTACTTATCGTGACACAGTCTTAGCTGGCCCTCTTATCATCCTTAGCAAACTTACTCATACTATACATGTTCTTGTCGTTCCCATGTCTTTGCAAATAGAAAATTAAGAATCCTGTTCAATGCTAAATCAACATTTAGTTCCTATTGTTGCCTTGTGCCTCAGCTTGCTCGATTCCTTATCTACCCTGTTCCTTGGCGGGCTTTCTAACCCCCAGGCCGTAGGTCTCAATTTCTCTCCCTTTTCTTGCAATCTCCTGTAATTCCTCCTTACTGAAAAAGTCCAACGGCGTGGCTTTCACCCCTGCCTTTGCGAGTTCCCGGTCTTGATGATCCACTCGTGTCTGATCACATTGGTTTATTGCTGAAACCAATGACTGGGCGTTGGCCCAAACTCATCTTCCCATCCGAAGGCCTCATCGCGCGGCTAGTGCATTGGAGGCCGCCTCTCTTCCCTAGGCCTTGAGATCTCATCTCTTTCATCCCCGCTGTTGATTTTTATGATCTCTTGTATATCCTCCTCCTCATTCTCCTCGTCCTCCGTCTGTATGGGGCTATACCCCCCCGTTAGGTTCTTCGGATCGTAGGTATAAGGAATCTCTATCCTTGTTCCATACCCCTCACAACTGCCATGGCCGCTTCGTCCTTCAAGCGGGCTTTCTCTTCTCTCCTCCCCATCCACATGCTCGTCGTGCATGTCTTGTCCCCCCTCGCTTTCCCCATGCCAAGTCTCACGTCGTTCGCCTCTGTTGGCTCCTTCCTCGTCAGAGGCCTGAGCCTTATCTCCCATATCTGCATTGCCCCCTTCTCCCACATTTGCCCTTTCCTTCTCGCCCTCACTGTCAGAAGAGATTTTTATACCTTCTCCCTTGCGGAGGGGCGAGGGTCTTCTACATACGCACTTCTTTCCACCCCTGCGTACCACCGGCCCGCCCATGAGCCCTATGTACAACTTTCTCTTCGTTGTCCTCTTCCCTTGGCTTGGTCCTGCTTCTTCCCATCCGGTAGGCCTGTTGATTGCCCCGCTGTCATTCTCGTTGTCGAATTCCATTCCTGCTTTTTCTCGCTTTTCTTCAAGTCTTGTATAACAAAACAACAGCCGCAATGCCCCTTATACACCCGTTCCCCCAGTCCGGTAGACAGTTCCCCTTTCCCTAGAATGTTCCCAGTGTCCTTCGCATCATGCCCCTTATATACACTTCCCTCCCTTATGCAAATGCGCCGTTTGTATTTCCCCGTCAAAAACTATGATACAACGTCTCAACAATCCTTCCCGTCGTCGCACAAACCCGTTATCGCAAATTCCCAAGTCACCCTGCATTTCAACCTCAGTCAGTCTAAGCCATTGCCCCAGCCAAAAAGAAATGACATAACCAAAAGTGTGGGCAAGGCCGCTGTCAGTTCTTAGCTTGTAGCCTTTCAGTTTTCCCTGTCCTCGGCCTCCTGAAGCCATTTTTCCAGTGGGTCCCGACTTAGAAACCTGACCAGCCGTTGCCCTGGGAAGGGTCCTTTCAATCCAGTTTCATCCAAATCTTCCAGTTCGAAAGTGTTCAGTCCCACTTGCTTGGTGACCCGGTAGGAGCCTTTGAACCTCCTCCCCAGTTGTCCAGACCAAGTACTTTCTAGTGCCGAATTCCTTAGCAATACCATCTCCCCCACTTGAAGTGGCTCCTTTCTGACATTCTTAACCTGGTCCCACCTTACTTTGTCCCTCATCCTGCTGTCCAGTACCCGGTTGGCGATGTCTTTCATGACCTCTTCGTTCTTAAGGATCTGTTGACACCTTGCCTCGATTAACTCCTCTGTGGTCATTCGCGGATCATCCTCTAACCTGTTCCAGGTAGGTATCAAGGCCTCAACGGAAAAGTCGATCTCCCTCCCGTACTAAAGTTCCGCTGGGATACATCCCGTTGTCCGCTTAGGTGTCATGTTCTTTGAGAAGACAGTCTGGTTGAGATACCCCGGCCAGCTTCCCAGATGATCCGCTGCGAGCTTCGCAATCGTGTTCTTTAAGGTTCGGTGCCCTCTTTCCACAGGTGCATTGGCCTCCGGGTGATACGGCTCGATAAGTTTGATCGGTACGCAGAGTCTCTTAAGCATTCCCAATACTTCTTGGTTCACAAAATCTATCCCATTGTCCGCTATAAATGTCCTGACGAAAGGATGCCTCAAGTAGAAGTCTTTTATCAAGTCCGCTATACTTCTCCCTGTCTTTATCTTGAGAGCGACCGCCTCCACGAACCTACTCAAGTTGTCTCGCGCATATAGAATATACCTGTACCTTTTTGTTGATACAGGCATGACTGCAAGGTCAAGGTGGACCAGATGTCCTGGTCCTAGCACCCGCGTAGGTCTAAGCGGCTCAAAGACCCGTGCCGAGCTTCGTTCTTGGCAGATAAGGCATGTCTGGCAGTAAATGGCGACCATGCTTGCCATGCCTGGCCAATAATAAAGTGACGTTATCTTTACGAGAGTCACTTTGGACGACCGATGTCCTCCTGCTAATCTGTCGTGCATTGCCTGGATAACATCTAACTGCCTAGATCTTCCGCACACAACTCTTCTAGGCATAGCACCTTCTTCTCTTCGGAACAGATGGCCGCCGCTTAGGACGTACCTCTCGGCCTCCTCCCTTGCTTTAGTGCTGACTTTCATGGGTTGCTTATTTGCTACCAGCAACAACCCGATCTCCCGAAAGATCCTTTCGTATATCTGGGAATAGAAAAACTCCTTCCCTTCGTGGTCCTCATCCTTTCTCTCCTGCCTCTCGTTTACCATCCATTGCAACTCTTTCTTTTTCCAGGATTCCACTACGCTCATCACGGCTTACCGGCCTCCCTCAACCGCCATTGTTATTAGTTCCTCCTTCGGTCCTACAATTGCTTCCCATGAATCTCTCTCCTCTTTACGACCTCGAGTGGTGACAGGTCCTTCCCTAAGTTCTGCTACTACAGTCGGCGCCCCCTTCTCCAAAGTCCGGATCAACAGTTCTCCCGACACGCATTCTTTGCCCATCATTTCGTTGTCCACCGCGAGAGTTCCTCCCTCGAATTCAAGGAACGCGTCTATGGGTTCCGCATCCTCCACCCCTTCGGGAGTGATGCATACCCGACTCAGCCCATCCGCCTTGTTTCTAATTCCAGCAATCCGTTCGATCTTGTAATCGAACTGCCAGATAAATCCTACCCATCTTCCCACCGTCGGATCTATAGGCCTGTAGTTCTTTAAGGCCCCTACGACATTCGTCGGGTCGATCCTTAAGATGAATCGCCTCCCAAATAGGTAGGCCTGGAAGGTCTTGAGGCAATGTAAGATGGCTAAGACCTCCTTTTTGAACTGCGAGTACCGCCGTTCGCCGGAGTTTAGGGTTTTACTTTTGAACCTAATCGGTCTCTCTCTCCCTTCCTCATCCCGTCGAATCAGCACGCCTCCTACGGCCAAGGGTCCTCCATCTGTTTCTAGGATGAATGGTCGTCCCACTTCGTCATTAAAACAAGGCGTTGACAAGGCGACTTGCTCAGATGTCAATATGTCGTTAAGGGTTTGGACAGCTCCTTCTCGCTCCTTTGTCCAATCCATGGTTCCCTCTTCTCTGATCATGGCCCAGATAGGTTCGGCAATCTTGGCAAAATTCTTAATGAAGATCCTCCAAAATCCGACCACCCCTAGGAACGCTCTTACCTCCGTTGTCGTGCGCAGGGGTGTTGGCCATTGCGATATCTTGTCCGTCTTCACCGGATCTGGCTTCCTACCGTACGCGCCACAGCGAAATCCCAGTATGGTTACTTCCGGTACTGCTAGAATACTCTTTGGTCCACTAACTGTGATATTGTATACTAGGAATCGGCAGAGTAAGTCCTTGATGTCGTGTAGGTGGTCCCACACAAACCTTCGGATTCCTGGCTGGACTTCCGTCTCGTCCTTCTCCTGCGCGCGTTTGATCGGATTGTCATCGATGTAGGGCTCACACTTCTCTGGGAACATGTCCCTGGCTACAGTGAGCATTCTGCGTTGCGCTTCGGCCACCGCGTTTGTGAAGCCCATAGGGGTCACTTGCATCTGTAACTGGCCTACGGGGGTGTGCATAGCGATGTACGGCCTGTCCCGAACATCCAACGGAAGCTGGTCGTACCCTGAGTACAGATCTATCAGGGAGTAAATGCTCCGGCCGGCGTGCGATTCTGCTAATAAATCGGCCCGAGGCAGCGAGCCAGCAACCCGGATGGTTACCGCATTCAACTTCTGCAGATCCTGAATCCACCTTAGCGTCTTGTTGGGCTTCCGAAAGACGAACCACCGGTTTGCATATGGGGACGCTGTAGGTTCTGCGACGAAGGAGTCCATCTTCGCTCAGAGGAGGTCTGTCACTTCCCCTACTATCCCGAACTCATAGGATGGACCCTTGTCGTTCCAGCACTCATGCTCTACTGTGTGGATTCTGACCGGAGGGATCAACTTCGCATCCAACCGTCTTTTTTTATGATCACTAAAGACAAATGCCAGGTGAAACTCTTGGCAGGCTGCAGATCATTTTGATCAGGCGATTTTCCTCTTCCGTTAGGAATCCTTCTACCCCTATCTTCATTGTGTCAGCTTCCTCGTCTGGTATCCGATGCCCTTTCGTCGCTCTTCTCTCTTGGATCACTCGAAGGACCTCCTCCTCCTTCTCCATAGCCTCTTCCTTTGATGTCTCTAGCAGGATCGAGACCGGTTTTGCTTTCTTCCCTACCGGCTTGTACTTTCGAACACTTCCTTCCGGGATCTTTCTACTAAAAAATGAACGGTCGGAATTACCCTCGTTGCCTCTACGACTCGTGCTTGAATACTAACCAATTTCTCATTCAGACAATACCCTTTTTGCACCTCTCCTTCAAATTTGGCTAGGGCTGCCGAGTCCATTCCTATATTGTGGTATCTGAGGGCCTTGATGAGCTGCAACAAATCGGGGATCTCGAGCGCGACTTCTGGCACGTCCATGCGTACTTCTTTCCGCTTGGGCAGGCTGGCACCAAGTTCGACTTCTGACTCCTTTTCTGCTACCATAACACCTAGGACTTCGTCCTCCTGCCTCCTCTTCTTCTGGGGCAGACCCATCTTGATCCACTCCTTCTTGTTGAATGCCTCCTCTATCATAATTTCTACTATTTTTCTCATGCCCTCCATCCGAGCAAAGGCCTCTTTTCGTGTGCTATCTTCGAATGACGGCAACCACGTTGTCAATTTCCTCTTCGGGGGGTCTCCTCCCGTTCCAAGGAGTCGGAGGAGCTCTCCCCGGCCGGTCACTGGGTCCTCTATGTCTATCATGTATGAGTCGTCGTGCAAGTGCATGCCTATCGTTTCAACGTTTGCGCACCACGGTCTCCCGATGATTATGTCGTGGTCCATTTCCTCCATTACGGTCATCCGCTGAAACGACCAGATCGACTCCCTAACTCATGCCTTCACTGCGCACTTCGTGACATACCCAGTGAACGGGATTTCCCTGCCAGCTCCCCGGATGCTCCCTGTTACTTCCTTGTTTACCGTACAACCCGTGATTGTTGCGAAATCTCTCCTTATGAGAGTGATTTCTGCTCCCCCGTCTACTAATGCGTCGGTATGGTGAGTCCCGATCTTGATTTTCAGCTTCCCTACGGGTAGTGCATGAAAGCTAAGCTTTGTCACAGGTGGTGCCCTTATGACCTCGCCGCCCTCTCGGTCGGGCAAACTCAAACGGATGTCTGCAGATGCTTTCTCGAGATCCTCCAAGTCCCCGCGACTCCTCTGCAGGTTAGCGACTTCTTGCGGAGCTTCCTCCTCCATTTCCTCTTCCGGCGCTTCGGGGTCCTCATCTATCTCTACTCGCCGCCGAGTCAACAGTTGTCTAAGCCCTTTAAGCAACCTAGGGATGATCTGCAGCATGGTCTGAAATGACACCAACACCATGGTCCCTCGCAATTTGCTAAGGGTGTCATCGACCTCTGGTATGGTTAAAATCGGAATCTGATACCTAAACTTCTTTTTGGCGGCAAAAACTTTCATTGGTTCCCCGGCCTCAGGTTCTGCCTGGGGTACCGAACTCCCAACAACCTCCTCCATCACTGTGTCACGGATAATCCTTCTTCCAGCCGTCCCTAGCCGAGTAGTCGCGTTCACCCTATCACGTCCGTCGTTTTTCAAAATGAAGTTGACCTGCGGCCCACGACCCCGCAGTTGTTCCCAGATGATATCGACCAGCTGCTCCACTTCTACGACCGCTATCTCTGGCCCATTGAGCATGATAACGGCTCGCCGCATTCCTCCTAGTGAGTTCCAATTCACCCGTTCTCCCTGCGGCCCGAATATCTCCCCCTTTAACGACCTGGTACATCTCCTTTTTAATATATCATGGTTGAGCTTTGGACATGCGTGCACATAATGTCCCATCGCGGTGCAGTACTTGCATTGCTCATTAGGAAGATCTCTCCGTCCAATTCCCCGATTGGCTACACCCGGCGGAACTACGGCTTCCTCGGGAGGGAGGGGGTGTCGGGATACTTGCGCCTGCATAACCAATAGCACGCTTTTCATCCTTTCAATCTTGTTGTCGACTCCATGCATCCATTCATGTAGACTTTCGATCCCCTTCTTTACTTTGTCGGTTGTTCTCCCGGTCACGTCTATGACCTCCCCTTCTTTAAGCAAGGCCAATGTCTCGGTCACTACCGTCTTTTCGGCCAGGTCCGTTACGGTGCTAAAATTCACATCCCTAGTGTTTACGAACTTGCTCGTCTGCTGGTAGGCCGACAGAATCTTGTCTTTGTCAAACTCGGAGAACTGCCTAAGGAAGTATTTGCTCATTATTCGGTTTGTTACTCCCAGGATCCTTAGTGCTACCAGAGTAAACTCCCGTAGGAAGTCATTGTACGTTGAAAAGTTCTTCCTCTGGACTTTCGCTAAGTCGGTCTCCGTAGCCATCTTCTCCGCTGCTAGGTACTTTCTCATCATCACATCCCGGGTTTCCTTCCAGGACCGGCTTGCGGCTACGATGACCATTATGTCCCGTTCCAAGCTCAAAGACACATGCTGCCCCAGGTGGGTCCATTTTTTCTTCTTCGGTCCATTTCAACAGTGGAGAGAGAGAGAGAGAGAGAGAGAGAGAGAGAGAGAGAGAGAGAGAGAGAGAGAAGAGAAGACAGAGAGGGAGAATAGAAGAGAGATCAACCTGAACATCACACCAAGCAAGAACGTGACAGTGAGAGGCTAGAACTAATGGAAAGCACATGCACATAGAGAAGAGATTAAGTAAGATCCGGAACATCACATCAAGCATGAACATGACAATGAGAAGCTACAACTAGTGGAAAGCATATGCACATAGAGAAGAGATCAACCGGAACATCACACCGAGCACGAACATGACAATGAGAAGCTACAACTAGTGGAAAGCACATGCAAATAGAGAAGAGATCAACCGGAACATCACACCAAGTATGAACATGACAATGGGAGGCTATAACTAGTGGAAAAGACATGCACATAGAGAAGAGATCAACTGGAACATCACACCAAGTATGAACATGACAATGAGAAGCTACAACTAATGGAAAGCACATGCACATAGAGAAGAGATTAACTAAGTAAGATCCGGAATATCACAACTCGCATGGTCATGACAACGGGAGGCTAGAACTAATGGAAAACACATGCACGTAGAGAAGACATCAACTAAGTAAGATCCGGAACATCACCTACTATCATGTGAGTGAAGGCAAGAGTCTAAGTAGGCAAGATCACCAAGGTTGAGCCAAAAGTCATCCATGAAAGAAGCGGTGCACTCCCTACTAGGGTGTGAGTGAAAGGCATGAACTTGAGTAGGCTAGATTGTCAAGATTGCATCACAGATCATCCATGATAGTAATGGTGCACTTCCCACTTGTGTATGTGTGAAAAGCAAGAGTGTGAGTAGCCCAAATCACCAAGATTGAACCCGAGATCATTCATGGAAGTTGTGGTGCACTACCTACTAGTGTATGAGTGAAAAGCATGAGTTCGAGTAGCCTAGAACACCAAGATTGCATCAAAGGTCATCCATGGAAGTTGCGGTGCACTACCTACTAGTGTATGAGTAAAAAACATGAGTGTGACTGACCCAAATCACCAAGATTGCATCCAAGATTATCCATGGAAGTTGCGGTGCACTACCTACTAGTGTATGAGTGAAAAGCATGAGTGTCAGTAGCCCAAATCACGAAGATTGCATCCAAGATCATCCATGAAAGTAGCGGTGCACTACCTATTAGTGCATGAGTGAAAAACATGAGTTTGCATAGCCTAGAACACCGAGATTGCATCAAAGATCATCAATGGAAGTTGCGGTGCACTACCTATTAGTGTATGAGTGAAAAGCATGAGTGTGAGTAACCGAAATCACTAAGATTGCATCAGAGATCATTCATGAAAGTTGTGGTGCACTACCTACTAGTGTATGAGTGAAAAGCATGAGTGTGAGTAGCCCAAATCACCAAGATTGCATCCAAGATCATCCATGAAAGTAGCGGTGCACTACCTACTAGTGCATGAGTGAAAAGCATGAGTTTGAGTATCCTAGAACACCAAGATTGCATCAAAGATCATCAATGGAAGTTGCGGTGCACTACCTACTAGTGTATGAGTGAAAAGCATGAGTGCGAGTAACCCAAATCACCAAGATTGCATCAAAGATCATTCATGAAAGTTGCGGTGTACTACCTACTAGTGTATGAGTGAAAAGGATGAGTCTGAGTAGCCCAAATCACCAAGATTGCATCCAAGATCATCCATGAAAGTAGCGGTGCACTACCTACCAGCGCATGAGTGAAAAGCATGAGTTTGAGTAGCCTAGAACACCGAGATTGCATCAAAGGTCATTCATGGGTGTAGCGCTGTACTACCTACTAGTGTAAGAGTGAAAAACACAAGTTTGGAGAGCCCATATCACCATGATTGCATCATGGATCAGTCATGGGTGTAGCGTTGTATTACCTACTAGTGTAAGAGTGAAAAACACAAGTTTGGAGAGCCCAAATCACCAAGATTTCATCAAGAAGCATCCATGAGTGTAGCACTGTACTACGTACTAGTGTGGGAGTGAAAAACACAGGTTTGGAGAGCCCAAATCACCAAGATTGCATCAAGAAGCATCCATGAGTGTAGCGTTGTACTATGTACTAGTGTGAGAGTGAAAAACACAAGTTTGGAGAGCCTTAATCGCCATAATTGCATCATGTATCATTCATGGGTGTAGCGCTCTGCTACCTACTAGTGTAAGAGTGAAAAACACAAGTTTGGAGAGCCGAAATCACGAAGATTGCATCAAGAAGCATCCATGAGTGTAGCGCTGTACTACCTACTAGTGTGAGAGTGAAAAACACAAGTTTGGAGAGCCCAAATCTTTATGATTGCATCATGGATTATCTAGAAAAGAATCGGAGTACTACCCCCTAGTGTGCAAGTGAAAGATGAGAGTTTGAGTAGCCCATGGGAGGAAGAAGATGAAGTGAAAGAAGATGGAGGAGAAAGGGAGAGAGATGAGGGAGATGGAGATGGAGAAGGAGAGGAAGAAGACAAAGAGAAATAAAAGTGAAGAGGAGGAAGGTGAAGATGAAGGGGCAAAAAATGAAGGTGAGAGAGGAAGAAGAAGAAGGAGGAGATGAAGAAGAAGAAGAGGAAGAAGAAGAAGAGGAAGAAGAAGAAGAGGAAGGAGAAGAAAAAGAAGAAGAAGAAGAAGAAGAAGAAAAAGATGAAGATGAAAAAGTTTCTTCCTTCCTCTCACCTTGTTGGTTCCTTGATGATGGTGTCTCCTTGATGAAACTTCCACTCCTTGCACAATCCTCTCTTGGCTATGGCTTCCTTCTTCTCCAAGCTACGCTTCTTCCTCTTTCACCTCTTCCCAAGTTGCCTCAAGCTCTCATCATCAAGGCTATGGAGTCCTCTCTAGGAGGGCTAATGAGGCTCCCTCTAGCCTTTCTTTCTCCTACCCCCAGGGGGGAGATATGGCGGATCACCTTCCAAGTGTCTCTACCATTATCACTATCCTCTAGAGTCTTTCCTACTACCTCCTAGTCTCCTCCAAGCTCTTCTACTAGCATGGTCTCCTCTCTCCTCACTCCAAGTGCACAGGTGTTTCTGTGGGCTCACCTGGGCAGCATGGACACTCCTCATGCAAATGTGAGAGTGGCGGACTGCATCCTCAGCTTATGTAGGCTGAAACCAGCAGTCCGGCCAGCCCATGAGCATATCCAAGTGCCTTGGGGTAAACCGAGGTACCCCCAAGGCAAAATTCTCCTACTAGGCTCTTCTGGAGGTACCTGGGCCTTATTTTGGCCAAGTACATCCAGTCCGAGTGGCTGGTACCAACTCGGACTGCCTCTTGGCCTACTTCGATCCCTTTTCCATTGCTCAAATGCTGCCTCCTTGGGTCCTAATGCCCAAGGGGCAACAATACTTCAAAGAAAAAGGCCTTGTGGGTCTTTTTCTCGATTTTTTTAAGTTTCGGCCTCCCTTGGGTAGGCCGGAGCATTTTTCCATGTGGCCGCATATTTTCAGCCTTGGATCTGGCTAAGATCCAAGGCCGGCAATAATCCGTGCTACCCCCTAGTAGTCCTTGCTTCAATTTTGAGCCCCTAAGTCCATTTCCTTAATTTTTGGTGCATCTGGCTCTCTTTTTGGGCCAAATGCACAGTTTCGTTTTTTTCGTTCTTTTGTTTCTTTCCATTTTGGGCTGCCACCTCCTTCCGAAACTAACCGTTTTGAGTTGGTCCACAAAAAACGGCTAGTTCCTCTCCACCATGAGATCCGATCTCAGATCCATGGTCCAAAGAAAATCGGCCACTTCCTTTTTGCAATTTCTCTAATTTTCTGTTTTTTAATTCAAATTTTATTAAGATATGGCCCCAAGGGCCATATCTCTACATTTCGGATTGCCCTCCGTTATTCTAGGAGGGATGAGGTCACAGTTGGGACCTGCCAGTCCCTACTGTGCAGGTCCCAATAGGCCGGCACACTCTCCTCCACTCTTTTCTCCATTTTTTGTCTCATTGTCCCTCCTTTCTCTCTCATTTTTTTTTCTTTTTCTTTTATTTCAGTTGTGACAAGTGTCAAGCTGCAGTGCACCCTCTTTCTGGGCTCTAAGGCCTCATTCAAGGCCAGGTTCATTACTGTTACTTGACCGTTACAACTCAAATTTCAATAATGACACCCCCATGCTCATAGAGGGCTCCATTTTGCTCCGATTTTCTAAGGGCAACCTTTTTTTCATGTTGAGCAACTTGAGGCTCTATTTTCTCATGCCTATGCACAAATATTCCTTGTGCTTGCCAATGGTCCCACTAGGACATCCCAAGTCCCCGCCACTTTCCTCCATGCTAGTTTCATTTTCTAGTCCCGTCGGCGCATGTCCTGTTTTCCGATTTTTATTATTTGGACCCCTTTGGCCCCAGGCAACATTCCGGATGGCGTCCCATTTTTATTTTGGGGGTCTCTTGTCCTTGGTGGTCCCATCATCTCGACATGTGTGTCAATTTTTCTAGGCCGTGAGATCTCATCTCACGGTTGCCGTTTATCGTCTTTTCTTGCCCCATGCCGAAATTGCTCTTTTCTAGCATTTCGGGTTTGTCGTGGCTCATTTTCCCTTAGCCTAGGCATCCCCATGCAGTCCATTGCAACTCGGATTGCAATGGGGGTCAATTTCGTAGCCCCAATGCCCCACAACTGACCCTTACTCAAAAGAAAAAGAAACGGTCAATTCCTAAGTGCATCCGGACTTGATTTTGGTTCCGGATGCACCTAAAACATGTGTTTCTCCTCATGCATGTAATCCGTTTTATTCCGGTTGCAAGGAGCCTTGATTTTCTTTGATTTTCTCTGCAAAACTAAAAGAAAATCAAAGTCCTTTGTAACCGCCATATTCCAGAATGAATCGGGTCACGGATGAATCTCCCCAAGTGACCGTTTTTCACCGTTAAGGTCTTTTTCTCTTTTCTTTTCTTTTCATTTATCTTTTCTTTTCTTTTCTTTTCTTTTCCTCCTTTCTTGGACAGTAGGGACCTGCCAGTCCCTACTTGTGGCAGTCCCTACTGACGGCCAACTCACTCACTCCCTCTCACACTTTTTGTTTTATTCTCCCACATTTTTTTTTCTTTTATCTTTTTTTTTCTAGCATGCCAAGTGTCAAGTGGCCGTCAAGGCCCT